GGTGACAGGAACTAGTAACCCCACTTCAGGTGTCGGATCACAGTAAGCCCACTTCAGGTTACAGGGCCTAGTAAGCCCACTTCAGGTGTCAGACACTTGTGAGCCCACTTCATGTAACAGCAACTAGCAACCACACTTCAGGTGACATGAACTAACAACCCCACTTCAGGTGACAGGAACTAGTAATCCCCACTTCAGGTATCAGATCATAGTAAGCCCACTTCAGGTGACAGGAACTAGTAAGCCCACTTCAAGTGTAAGAACCCTGTGAGCCCACTTCAGGTCAAAGGAACTAGTAACCTCCACTTCAGGTATCAGATCATAGTAAGCCCACTTCAGGTGACAGGAACTAGTAAACCCCACTTCAGGTGTCAGACCATAGTAATCCCACTTCAGGTGACATACACTAGTAAGCCCACTTCAGGTGACAGGAACTAGTAACCCCCACTTCAGGTGTCAGATCACTGTAAGCCCACTTCAGGTTACAGGGCCTAGTAAGCCCACTTCAGGTGTCAGACACTTGTGAGCCCACTTCATGTAACAGCAACTAGCAACCACACTTCAGGTGACATGAACTAGCAACCCCACTTCAGGTGACAGGAACTAGTAATCCCCACTTCAGGTGTCAGATCATAGTAAGCCCACTTCAGGTGTCAGACACTTGTGAGCCCACTTCATGTAACAGCAACTAGCAACCACACTTCAGGTGACATGAACTAGCAACCCCACTTCAGGTGACAGGAACTAGTAATCCCCACTTCAGGTATCAGACGCCAGTAAGCCCACTTCAGGTGACAGGAACTAGTAAGCCCACTTCAGATGTTAGGAACTAGTAAGCCCCACTTCAGGTGCCAGACCATAGTAAACCCACTTCAGGTGACGAGAACTAGTAACCCCGACTTCAAGTGTCAGACCATAGTAAACCCACTTCAGGTGCCAGACCATAGTAAACCCACTTCAGGTGCCAGATTATTGTGAACCCACTTCAGGTCATCTTCGCTAGCCAAGGTCTAAGTTTGTTCGGCCAAGCCTCTAAACAGACCTTGGCAGAACGACCATCAAATATGCGTATTCTAACAGTGTCCCTAGTAGTCAGTTGTGGCTAATCATTGTCCAATCAGTTTGCGTGTTACAAATCCCTTTTCGGCGTTCATGAATCGTGATATTTGTGATGATAAAATTGCG